CAGGGATGTATGCATGCCGTACTTCCTCTGACAAGGTGGCTGTTTCAGGACACATGTCGTGATTAGTGGATTTGTTCAGCCCACTGAATAAGAACATTCTTGTTCGCAGCTTCGAAATACTGGGTATGGCACGGTGTCCAGCCTCAGCCCCTCTGACATCCGCAGCGATCAACTCTAGATAACTTGGATTCTCAAGGGAGGCTCCAACGGGGCAGCGGCATGCACTCTAGTCACTGTTTTCATTTGCAGGTGATATCGTAGCAATCAGTCGGGCATTGCCAAGAATGATGGGAAGAGCCCACCCGCCGGCGTTTGCATCACTGATTCTTTTCTTGTGAATCTGTCAGTAACCGGTCATCACTGGCAGAGCAAGGCACCTGAATGCGGGCTCATTCCACCCCTTCTGATAGTGAGACCGCCCCGACTGATTTCGACGATACGAACTATATCATCATCGAGTTTCATTGAAATGAGGGTGCGGTTGTAGCAGCTCAGGAAATACCTCTGCAAGTTTCCTAAAGTATCGCCAAGTAAGGTCATCACCATATAACAATACATTTCTTTCTTCCCAGAATGTAATAACTGTGGGACGTGAGGCCGCCCTCTTAACCGACTGAGTATCTGAAATTGAGGTCTATTCATCAGAGATATGCTGTACACTCGCCTCCGAGGTCTCCGGTCCGTGCCGTGTGCGAGATCATCGCGTCCGCAGCTGTAGAAGTGTGCCTCTTTGGTCACTCGGAAGTGAGAGTAACCAAACCGGCTAGAAGGTAGTCGTGGCTAGACGCCATTTAGGCTCCACCCGCAGCCGAAGCCAGAAGTACATGACATGCCTCATAACCAACTGTATGCCTTGCCAAGGCAGTCGCGCATGTTATCTGCGCCTTTTTCATTGGTCAAGGCGCTGTTGAAGAACTTCACATCGGAACTCACGGAACGGAGTGGAATGAGCAGGGTGAAAGGCTGTCTGAGTTTATCATGTCGACCACACCATCCATGGTAACTCGCAGTTCCAGAAGCCCTACTCTCTACGCTGGACATGGGAGTCTCCTGGTGGACAATTCCATAACGAGATCGACCACATCATCTTCAATCGAAGGTTTTGCCTGACCGATGTCGCTGTTGTTCCCTAAGTTCTACACGGGATCCGACCATCGTCTCCCTTCCGCTTTTCGATGCGAGGAGAGAGAGCCGCAAAGTTCAAGAAGCGAAGCCCCAAGACCACCATCAACTGGGATCACTTCACTTCTCTCGCTGGGCTCTGGGAGGATTCTGTCATTGACAACATCGAAGAGGACAACGAATACTTACCGGCTTGTTGCACCATTTACACTGACTCGCCGAGGAAGAAGTCAGCAGGGTTCCAAGAATCACCAAGAAGCGATATCTCTGGAACTCTCGAGCTGATTCGCGCAACAGTGAGCGCGACTAGCCACGCAAGCAATTACCAGCTGACGTCTGAGCTTGCGAAGCTATGCAGAGAAGCGATAAAGGAAGACCTCAAGGAGAGAAGAGCAGCAGTACTGGTGGAAGCCGCAGAGGCTGGGAAGAGCGTACGCAACGCCCGCCGCGACGACATTATCGCTCAACTGTAAGATCCTCAACGATGACCGCCCCCGACGTTCCGGATGGAACAATCACTGCGCATGCAGAAGAGCATGGACGAAGGTCATCCACGGATTCTATCGGATCTTCGAGCCACGTCGCCGCTGCCACTCAATAGCCGCTTGAGCAGGATGGATATGTCGTAACTGCAGTTCTCAGTCTCGCGAGGTCCGACCGCATCTCGTCGGTGAAGAATCGTACGGCACCCGGTCCCGACAGGATCAGACCCGAACATCTGAAGAATCTTCCGCCAGTTCTCGTCAAAACTCTGGCTCGACTCTTCACGCGCTACCTGTCGGAATGCAAGGTACCCACCTCGTGGAAACCAGCAAGACTGTGTTGCTGTACAAGAAGGGTGAGACCAATAACGATCAATTGGCAATTATGCGCCGGATCTGCCTGCTGTCTGTGATTCATACGAAACTGCTTGGAGCACGGTCGATCCTTAACAGGATTGACAGAAATCTAGAGGAAGGACAGCCATGCGAGCGAGCAGGGTTTCGAAGAGGATTCAGTACGATCGGTCACATCCACACGGTAACGAAGCTCGTTTGAAGTAAATCGCGTACCGAGTACAATGATGCTCGATTCTGTCTGCACGTTCATCGACTTGAAGAAAGCCTTCGACTCCGTTGAGACAGAAGCGGTTATCGAAGCCCTGGGCAACCAGGGTATTCCTACTCAGTACATCAGGATTCTTCGTGAGCTCTACAGCAACTTCACGACCAAGATTTCACCATTCTACAAGGAGATCATCATTGATGTGAAGAGAGGGGTCCGACAGGGCGACACCATCTCGCCCAAGCTCTTCAGCGCCTCTCTCGAGAACGTCATGCGTCAAGCTGGAAATGGGAAGACATGGAGGAAGCTGACGTCTGCAACTACACATTCTCGGCTTCGCCTGGCGAGGACATCGTTTCTGGCAACGCCAACATCGAGTCCGCGAACTGAATGCTGGCTGAATTCGACTGCGCGTGTGGAAAATCGGTCTACGGCTGAATCTAACGAAGACGATGTTCATGAGAAACGGATTGGTATCTGATGCCCCATTCACGCTCAACGGAACGACCATCTCTGAATGCTCTAGCTATGTGTACCTAGGTCGTGAAATCAATATGATGAATGACCTAGCTCCAGAGCTGAGCAGGAGGAAGCGAGCGGCTTGGGGAGCCTTCAAGAACATCGAGGGAGTAGCGAAGAAGACGAAGAACACCAAGCTCCTATGTCCCCTACGCGTCTTCGAATTCCGACCGGTCGCTTGTTCCTGCCTTGACGTACGCTCAGAGACTTGGACTCTACGAAAGCAGGATGAGCATGCGGTCGGCGTTATTCAACGCGCCATCGAAAGGGCGATGCTCGGAGTTTCCCGCTACACGCAAGTGAGAGAGGGAATCCGGAGCTCCGCACTCCGCCAACGATCGAAGATCAGAGACGCCGCCGCATTTGCCAAGGTTTCGGGCCGGACACGTCATGCGTTTCGAGGACGACCGCTGGACCAGAGCAATCACCGACTGGATTCCACGGGATGTCAAGCGAACGCCTGGACGACCGCCTACGCGATGGTCAGACTTCTTCGTGAAAGCTCTGAACGAATGGTATGAAGTTCATCGTGTCCCTCGAGCTGAGAGAGTTCATTGGGCAACTCTTGCACGTTGCAGGGACGAATGGAGACGTTACTGGCGCCCGCTCGAGGAACTCGATGATCAACGGGAGCACAGGTGATACACAGGTGAAGGCGCTGTTGCACTCTCCACTGGACCGTAATGGACATCTTGCCAGACATGTCCTTCCGTGCAGTGTCTCGGCATGCACGCACATGCTGAGAGTTTTGGACGAGGGGCGGAGACCCCAACGGTACTCATCATTCTCGGACCTCATTTCCGTGTCCTGCCTCGTAACGAATGTGGCACACAACTACAACTGCGCCCCTGTCAGCTCGCACAGGCACGGATCTACCTAGCTGGCGAGCGTACGTCTTGTATCAGAGAATATGGATACTGATAGCGTTTTCGTCAACCTGTACTTCCAATTTCAAGACTGTTCCACCTGCTACAAAGTTTGATTCAGCTTTCAAAGCAGCCTGTAAGATATGGCACAGTCTTGTTTAGCATTCTCATGCTGTGTTACTGCTCACCCGGTTCGCCCCGAAGTGAAAACTACTTTTTTTGAAGACACTCCTTTTACGGTGTCTTGACGCTGATTTAGCAGATGCGTGCCTTCCAGCTTGTTACCCATTGGAGGCAACTGTACACTCACCTTCGTGGATCCGGGTCCTGTTAGGGTAAGTGGGTTTGTAGTAGCGTGCCACTTTCCCCACTCAGTAGTGGAGGTAGACGGTACGGTAACGCGGCTGGAGGGCAGTGATGTCACGGTATGCCTCCATACTCCGCTGACGCTACCGCAGGGCCGGCTACACCAATAACCACAGCCAAATGCGCCAACTGTGTGCTCCCTTCCACTTCTGGTTGTTCTCTTCCTGTGCCTGTTTGGCTGCGGGACCTTGATACGCGAGCGCTGCCCTAGAGGATAGTGCGGGAGGGATATGGAGACTTTTCCAGACTTACTACTCACTACGCCCATTCGCCCATACTCCTGAGAAGTGTCCGACTGCAAGTACAGACCCATCCATCTCACACATGGCAAGGACCAGGGTCCACGGAGGTGAGTGTACAGTTGGTCTTTAACGAAGATGGTTCTCTATTGCACCTGCTCCCGATGAAGTTTCCATCAAAACGCACTTCAGCATTGTGATTTTTGATATCTTGCACTTTATAGACAGAGCCGCATCCGCCTTCACCAAGCTTCTTTACAATCCTCCATCTTTGGCCAACTATTTTTCCTTTTGGTAATTGTACAGGACCGACGTCTGGAAGTGAAGCAGTGATCTCTTCGGAAGTCGGTGAACAGCCGACATCCATGAGTATATACCTGACATAGACCGCCGAGTAGCACCGAGTAGACTTATAAAAATGAACTTCACCCACCACTCAACTGCTTTTATACTGAAAATTGAAATCACGCTGTTGAGAAGCAATAACGACTGATATTATTTGGTCAACTTTCATAAAACGAGTGATTACTGTAGACGAAGAGCGGCGTTCGGAGAGGGAGGAGGGGGGGGGGCATTTTGCACTTTCGCTGCTTTCCATTGTTGTGACAGGAATTCTTCACAAGAGGCAAGTAGTTTTTACAAGCTTCGACTGTCACTTCATGGCTTCACAGGATCTTGCACATCTTTACTTATGTCTCGATAGGACAATGGGAAGCAGCGAAGGAGCCAAATACCCCCTCCACGCCTCCCCCCCCCCCCTCCTAACCGAACTGCGGAGCAAAAAAAATGCTTCCTTTCGGCGGTGTTCCAGACGGTTGTTTTCCTCATTTCTTGCGATGCGATAGAAATTGAAACACTGCTACTCTCATAATCGCTCTTTTGCTGGTACCGGTGCCTGATGCCTACTCATGCCTACTAATGCCTGCGTTTGTCTCTTCCACGAGACTGAGTAGTCCAGCTGATACGCTCCACGCCCGTGCTGCTGTGGCCTAATGACAAGGCCAAGGTTACCGCTCCACAGGAGCAGAACTTAAAGGCTTAAAGGGTATGGCACGATAATTTGGTACTCGGTCTAAAATGCTAGCAGGGTGCTGTATAGTGGGGAAAATGGCGAAAAAACGAAGTGAAACGGTCAAAAACCTGCGAAGAAAAGCCTTCGTTCTTATGACTCAAAAGCAATTTCGGACGAGTTTCCCGTAGGCATCTTGCCAATAACCGCTACGGTAGATAGGCTGCACGTATGTACTCATATATCCATGCAGCACCGCGGCCGCTTCATACCAATCCCTTCGCTTCATATTTTACTTCGCAAATGAAGCAATACGAGCATCAACGGTCGTCCATTTGTGGGAGGCTGGCTCGGTGGATGTTCGGGTCGGTATACTGCATAGGACCTTACAAGCGTACCTCCCACGGAAAAGCGCTACGTAGGAGCACAGAATTTCGAGCTGCCAGGCGTATTAATCTTACGCGTCCTAGGGGAATCGTGCCGACTACCTTTCAAGTAGAGGATTATTCTATTGCCCCGAAAAAGCTGCGATTTTCGCGACGACCCAACGGTCGACGAAACTGGTGAAGTTCTTCTTTTCACATAGCCAAAGTGAAAGGGTTGATTTTCCATTTATGTAGTATCTGTCGTGTTCATTTCGGCAGGAACCCTAAAAAATGGCGTACCGGTCAGTCACGTGTATTAGCCGATTAGTGCGGCGGCTAATAACGTGTGTCGGCTCAGTAATCGCTCAACCAAACAGTAGCGATTAAATGGGGGCGAATGACCTCACAAACAGTTCCACATTTTCCGCGTTCTTATCCAACCTAATTGAACCATTTTTCAGTAGAACATTTACATTATGAGTATTTTACACCACGGTAACTCGATTTTTATTTGACGCATGTTTATTGACATCACAGTTGGTAGCGTCGGTGTGGGCGCCATCAAGAGGGATGGAATGAGCCCAACCGCGGCGTTTTCTACCACTGTGATCTGTTCCTGAATCAATAGCGAACCGATTACTGTTGGTAGATAGCGCAGCCAGCAGCGGGCTCATTAAGCGCCTAGTGACACGCCCCGACCGATTGCGACGATATCAACTATATTTGACCTGAGGAAGTCCTGAAGAGCCTTTGCTATTTGTTTTTTGGACCCTAGTCAATGACTTATAGAGCTCCCTTGCTCTTCTTTTTAGAATTCTCGAATTCGGCGATTCTCTCTCCGACGAACTTGATTCCTAACTTATAATATATTTTTCGCGGAGTCCCTGGTATTCTTCAATAGCGAAAGCTACAAACACGACCTTAGGTTGCGTACATACTCCGCGAAACTGCCTTCCACGCTGACGGTAAGCTACGATTGCGTTCGGCCTTAGCGGAACCTTGCATCGTTTTTGTATAGGTACCTAGCCATAAATCCCACCTCCCGCCCCCTTCCCCACTGATCAAACAATTTATGACAGTTCAAGTGCAAACTTCCCGTTTTGGAGATGGGAATGTCCGCTGTGTTCCGCGTGATGTTCAATTGTACATGCCAGTTTACATCTACGAAGACAAGTCTGGTGAGAATTAGCCGACCTTGTACGGGGAGCATAAGGCTTCCGACCGGATCCAGTGGGCGATCAGTGGCGATTACACTGTAGTATGCATATTTCGTCGGACAAGAACGACTTGTTCGGACTGATTCGAGTATCTCGTTATAGTACCGTAATGATTGATGTTGTTTTTTTTTACTATACGTTTCAGCGGCAAGTTTTTCAATCAGTAACCAGGGTGCCTGAGAAAAGATCCACCAAATACTCACTAACACCTACTACTCATCTACAACAAGGAGAAAAATTAGCACGCTCTTAATATCGGGTTTAAATAAAAAATTCAAGACAGGTTAGGTTCGACATCATCTGAGGAAAGGTACTATCTAATCTAGAAAATTTGGACACGGACAAAAGATCGTCGTTGGATGCGGTGGACGAAGTAAAACTTTCCAATATACTTGAGAATTTTTCCCCAGTCATTCCCTCCTCCCTACCGAACGACAGTCCTTCCTGCACAACATAACGGGTGTCCGGGTCGCTGTCTTTTGATACGTTGGAGTAGAAAATTGAAAATTCTATATATGTTCAGTTCGCTGTGGACGATGGGGCGTGTCAGGCAATATGTATGAGTGTGTCACCCCGTCAAAGCCGTTCTCTGCCACTTGTTGGAGCGGATGTGCCACACGAAAGATAGAAAATGAGTGACACGAGCGATATGATGCAGTCTCACCCCTTGCTCGCTTCAATAACTGGCGGATACCGAGTTTAATGCGACGCCAAAACCATTCCGCCTGACACGCCCCTTCATCCACAGTGAACTAGACTGCGGGTAGAATTCTTCGAGTACACGAAGCCGAATCATTCCAATTATTATTATTGAGCTTTCTCATTACGAAACACCCGTTGATTAGGCAAAAACAGATGAGCCCAAGTACGCCACTTTTTACATTAAATATATCTCAAAGATGGGACGGCTGTAGTCCGATTCCTTGAGATGAGGTAGGCGTGGCTGCGTACTTCACATTTACAGTCGTCATCTGGGCACTTGATTAGGCGGTCAAGGGTCGCGACGCGGCTGCGGCGTGTCACGAGCGCGGCGATCAGCTATTTTCAGCTATTTTCTCCCTAATTTACACTGTTTGGCTGCTTTTCTCAAGATTAGTTGTTCCTTGTCTTCACAAGGTAAATTATGATTGAGATTCCTCTGTTTTTGCGCACAATTAAACAGTTAGGCAGACAACTGAACAAACACCTGAAAAAAATCGCAAAAAACACTTCACTGCAGAAAAAAAGACTACACGCTCTGTTGTGCTTCATAACATAATAATAATCTTGAAAAAAAACAGCAAACACACTGAAAATTAGGAAGAAAATGGCTAAATTAGGCCGGAAGCAGCTGGTCGCCGCGCTCGTGACGCGCTGCAGCCGCGTCGCGACCCTTGGCCGCCTAATCAAATGCCGGATGACGACAGTAAACGTGGAAGCGTTGTGCTTTTGTTGAAATCTCCGTTTTAGGACAGTTGTATTTATGTCTTTGTCCAGCACAGAAAAAGCTGACACTCACCTCAAATCGTAACGTCCCACGAATAACAGACATATTCGAATGAAGTACGCAGCCACCCACACCGATTCTCAGGAATATGGAGTGTACTTTATTTGAGCATGGGGTAGGATACTCTTTTCGTAGGATATTTCAGAAGCAACTGCTGGACAAGGATTGATACCATATAACAGAGCAATATATCACTGAAAGCACCGCTGCTGCCACATCCAGATGAGGTGCACAGGCCACATTCTCTCCGGCAATCCGCAGGGACCCACAGCATCTGTCAGCCAGAGGGACTATTGATCTACATGATCAACCTGGGGTGGAGGGTCCCTACAAGCTCGGATCCAGCACTCAAAATGCCCGAATTACAATAGCATAGACTGGCTCTCGCATTTAATTTATTGACCTCTGCATTTCATTTGGTCACTTAAAGGCAGAACCCGCGATTATTCGCCATCTCAGATGGTGGATTAGGGGGTTCCATATAGACGACAAGGGGTTGAGTAACTCGACTGTAAACAAAAAAGCACAAAAACATGCCACCTGCCCTAGAACTCCATTTCATTCCAGTTTGTACGTGCCCAATCACTCTATCTCCGAAACTACGCTCTCATATGCACAGCTGATTCACCGATAAGATTCTCTACGATCGTACAAGTGGCGATTATCGTGCTTTTTCGTCCTGCAACTCATTTTTCACTGGAAGTCGGTCATTAGGGGCGGAGTCTGGAGGCGGAGTCACTGGAAAAAAGGAGGAGCCACTGAACCTATATTGCGCTACAGCGCCCCTCCCATAGAATTTTTGCCCGAAGAGGCAGAGATAGAGCAACTGGCGCAGGGCCTGCTTCACTACTTGCTCAACTCCTCTTTGCTGCTTGCAGCAAGGTTGGACCGTAAATGAGCCACGCCCATTGGCGTATCGCGGAACACGTTCTCACTAGAACAAAGGTGAATGTTGAATAATAATAACTGAGCTCATTTATGTTCATTTCGCTTTCTCTTGTTTGTAGCGTTCTTTTTCTCACAAGCCGCTTTCTCCATCACTTCTTTTGCGCCATATAGCGGGGGTAATCTCTCGATGAAACTAGCCCACGCCCGGTAAATTGGCGGCGCGATCCCCTCGTTGTTGCATAAGAAACAAGTTCAGACTTACACTCGGCATAGGTGTAGCATTTCATAGTGAGTCTTCGCCTCATCAATCAGACTGCAGGTTCATTTTGTTTATTTATCGCTTTTCAATGATTTTGAAGTTTTGAAAGGAAAAGTCCTAGATGTTCGGTGCACAGATTAGTC